CTATTTTTATCATGTTATTTTTCTGCTGTTGCCTTCCTTCCTTCCTTTTCTATTTAATTTCTTGCCTTGCCTGGTAAATTTATTCTGTTGGGGCTCATGGAGTTGTAATTCTTACTGTCTCTTTCTAGAATATCTTTCAGAACACTTTGGAGTGCTGGTTTGGTGATCATGAATTTATTAGAGTGATCTTTGTCATTGAATTATTTTGTTTCTACATCGATTTTTTTTGAGGTTTTTTTTGTTTGTTTGTTTTTGTTTTTTAGGTACTGGGGATCAAACTCAGAACCTTGCACGTGGGAGGTGGGCAGCACCACTGCTGAGCGAAATCTCCTGGCCCTTCTCCATCAGTCTTGAAGGATAGTTTTGCAGGGTACATCAATCTGGATTGAAGGTTGTTTTCCTCTAGTTCTTTTTCACTCCAAGCTGTCCTTGACTTGAAAGTTTGTATTAAGTCTGCTGTGATTCTGATGGGTTTTCCTTTATAGGTGATTTGTTACTTTTCTCTAACAGCTCTTAATATTCTGTCCCTATGTTGAGTTTCTGGAATCTTGAGTATTATATACCTTGGGGAAGAATTTTTTTTTTAATCATGGCTAATTGGAGGCCTGTATGCCTCACTTACCTAGACATAAAATTCTTTTTCCGTTTGGGAAGTTTTCTGCCATTACTTCAGAGAACAGGTTTTTTGTGTCATTTGCACTATCTCCTGCTCTTGCATTGACTCCAGTCAGGCTTATGTTATTCTTTGCATCTTCCAGCAGCTGCTAAATTGATTTCTCATGGTCCCTTGCTATTTTTAAGAAATATCTCTTTTCATGATCGCTAACTGTAATCCTGTCTTCTGTATCTGATATTTTGTCCTCATATTGGCTCATTCTGTTGTGTATAGTTTCAATGGAGTTTTTAATCTCCTGGATATCTGTTTGAATCTGTTTCATGGATTCCATTTCTTTAGTATGCTGGCGTTCATGGTTTCCATCATATTCCTGAGCTCTCTTTTTTTTATCTGTATCTTTCTGGTCACCATCTCTGTCGTGCTCCGGAAAATTATTTCTGCTTTGATTTTTTTTTTCTTCTTGAGCTTCATTTGTGTGCTTTGGTACTTCTGCTGTTACTATCCCAGAGAGTCCAGGTGGGTGGCTTTTGGATTGTTCCACTTCATTGCCCTCCAGGGTTTGCCTTTGGTGAGCTGGAAGTCAGTGGGGGTTGCACCATAAGTGTCTTCTCATTTTCTTTTTGATTCCTGAGTTGATGCTTGTAAATTGCTTAAATTGGCAGTAGCTTCATTGCCAGTATTCAGAATCCCTAGAATATGACTATTTTTCAGAAGCATCTTCCAGACGTAGCTAGTTTTTGGGTTTTGAGTCTGTTGCAGGTAGGAACCTCTTCAATTTATCAGTGATGAGAAGTTTCTCTCTACTTGGCCTAGCTGCCAGTTCTTTGGCACTGGCCTATAGGCTTTTTGTTTTTTGTTTGAAGTTCTTTTGGCAATCTCAGTCTTGATATGGCAGGAGGAACAACTGATTGCACTACTTTAGCCAAGGTGACAGAACTGTGCTAATCAACAATAACAGCAGCATCAAATACAGCCTAGTAAATGACAAATAGCAGCCCTTTATATGGCATTTTTACCCTTAGGGCAGAAGATTTAAAAGGTGTTAAGGGATGAAAACAAACAGAAGAAGAGGAAGATATCAGAAGCAAAGCTGGAGGACAGACAGGAAATAGGCAGGAAAGAGAAAAGGAAAAAATAAAAACAGCAGAACAGGCCACCAGCAACAAACTAGAGACTGTGTTCAATCAAGAAAAAACTAAACAAAACAAGAACTAGAAAGGAGGGGGAAAAAAAGGCAAGGAAAAGAAAAACGATTTTTAAAAAATAAAAAATGTCCAATTCAGGTTGTATCTCTGCTGTCAGGCAATGTGGGCAACAGAGTCCAGGGACAAATTGAGTAATTCCAAACAAGACAGCTGCAGCTTCACAGTGGGGTAGTGAATAATCTCAGCCAGCCTGCCCCTTTAGTCCAGGCAAGTTTCTGGTTATGAGACTGGAACCAGATTTTTTGAGCCTACAACTGTATATGTGTCTCCTGCCAGCTTGAACATGTGCTTCTGCATGGAGGCCTCAGGGGTCATCAGTAGTCACTGTGCATCTGTGTTTTAGCCTGCGGTTCCCTCTCGGAAGAGCCTGGGCTCTGGGAGAGAGAGATGCTTGGTACCTCCCTCCTCTTTGTTGAAATCTCTCTCTTTAGTCTCCCTGTAGACTTCAGTTCTTGCCTCAGACCTTTCCTGGATCCAGGACCCCCCCACCCCCTCACCCTCTCCTCGTACTGCTATATTCCAATGTCAGGACACCAATTTTTGGAGAGGCTCTTTCTCTGCTGCTTACCACTCTGCCATCCAGTGATTGCAATTTCAGTGAGCTTACTTCACCTATGGAATGGGCTAATGATGACAGAGATAATATGGGCATAAGCCACATGCTTTGTGCCCAGTATCTGTTACATATTTATAATAACAGCAGTAATGTGTGTCTGAGGAAGCTTGGTGGCTTGTGCATGGAACAACCAACCTGGTTTGGGAAGCATGGTGTTGGTGTTGGTAAGCTTCCCATTGTTTTCTTTACTTGAAAATTGTTTTTAATACATAAGTTATATTGATGAAAAATAAAGTCTGGTCAGATAATTAAATAAAAATCAAATTAAATCACCGCATGATGACATCCTGCCAAAAATTTCAGTGCGTATCTTACAGACATAAATTTGTCAGCTTACATTTTTCATTCAAATATGAGTGTCTTATGCAGACACACTTCACTGCTTCACACTGCAATAAAAAGATCCTAAGGACAAGAAGTAAGAGAAACAGAAACTAGTGAGAACAGAAGCTGAACTGGTGCTTTGAGTAGAGGAACCAGGTGCATAGACAACTACCTGGCCTACCAAGAGCAGGTGTGGCTTTACAGTAGAAAGCTTAGCTCTCTGGGGACTGGAGGGACATGCTGTAATGTTTTTGACATGGGGGTTGTTTGGTTTTTTTGTTTTGAGATGGGCTCACTATGTAGTCCAGCTGGCCTTGAACTCAATATGTAACTAGGTTGATGTTGAATTTGAGATCTTCGTGTTCCAGCCTCCCCAGTGCTGGGATTATAGGTTTGCACCACTGACCCCATTGACACCTTGGTTTTAAGGAGAGTTTGCTGAATGGATGGACTCAGTCTGGGATGGAGATTGAACCCAGCTCTTACCTTCATCCCAGCCCTTTGTATGTATGTGTGTTATGTATTTATTTTTAGTTTTTGTGTGTGTGACAGGATCTCACTATGTACGTTCAGGCTGACCTCAAACTCAGGCAGTCTTCCTGCCTTAGCCTCCCGAGCTGAGACTATCTATGGGTATGAGCTACTCCTCCTGGCTGAGTTGCTTTTTTTTTTTTTTTTTTTTTTTTTT